TAATACTAGTAGCCAACATTTATTAAATGCTTACAAGCTAAACCCTTTACTTGAGTGATCTTATTTTCTCTTTCCAAGAAACCTATGATAAAGATAAAATTACTACTGTCCCTATTTTACAGATGGGAAAAATAAGTCTTCAGGAGGTTTAGCAACTTGTTCCAGATAACTCAATAGTAATAAGTTGCAGGTCTCTCAAATTCCAAAGCCCATCCTCTCCACAACCACACTAGCATGCACCTAAAAACCCACGGCCACAGAAGGAGGGCTTGGAGATTTTACTTGAGGTTTATTTCATTAGTAAAAATGGCATTTGTATTAGATTACTTATCCCTGCCAAATTGTTACTCATCGAGCCTGAATAACAAGTTTAATATGTACCAGACTGAAGTTAAATTTATCAAAGGGAATTTTGTTTCAAATCAACACAATATGTAATTACGGTTAACACTAGTGAATGTTTTAAGAGAAAAGGCACATCATTCAGTGCGTAATATTCTGGAGCTACGCCCCGAGGCTGTTCCAACTTATAAACACCCAACATTCCTGTGATCCTGACCTGGAACAGTCTCCCAGCCCAGCTCCTGCCCAGAGAGCCCTCTCTCCTGCTGCTGGTGGTACAGCCCACGCCTCCCACTCTGTCCTCTCCCTACATCAGGTGCTGCCTCCAATGCTTCCCACCCACACGCCCATCCCAACCCTGTTCACTCCAGCACTGGGGGTTGGGGGTCTGCACACCTGGTTGGAAATGGGTTCTCAGAGGAACCCTGGTTCCCTAGACCTAGGGGTAGATTCTGTGAGAGCCTAATGACCTGCTATAGCTGGAAGTGGGGACAATCCCGGCCTACCATGAACTCTATTTGGTCCGAGTCTCCGATTAACACTTGTCCTGAGCATGCTGAGGAGGAAGAAAACAGTTGCTAGAGGTTGAGCAGCTATCCCACCTGGGCTAGATGTCAAATTTTGCCAGAAGGCTGTGCTTTACAAATGCATCCATATCTGATTTTATTTTGCAGTCTGGTGGGAGGAGTGACCAGGGTTCTGTTGGCTCCTGTCCTTTTAGTGTTAGGTGAAATACATTGTGAAACCCTCACACCCTGAGAGGTCAGTCAGGTGGAGAGGCAGGTCACCGCACTCCTGTTACCAACTGCAGCACAAACATAGCAGTGGAGCCACTCCAGAGCCTGCGGAGAGCTGGAGCCCCAGCCCCGGGAGAGAGTTCTCCCAGAAGAAACAGACAGATCATCTGCTGTGGAGGCTGGTTCCTTCCTGCCTGAGCCATCTCTCACAGGCCACAAATTTTGCAATATCTGTTTGTCTACCCCTAAAACACGAGAGACATCAGCCAAGCCAACTGGAAGGGAACTAGTCGAGTTTTTGAGATGACTGAGTTTCCATTCTTTTCCTCCTTGAATGGGTTAGGAAAACACTTCATGAGATTTTGTTGTGTTTTTATCTGATCCTTTGAAAAACCTGAGTTGTGTTAGGGACCAGGGTAGCCAGGCAAGGAGTGACTGACATAAGAAATAGAGTAATAATTTACCTGGTCCCGTTCTCTAGCATGAAGCCTGTTAGACGGTAAATATTAGTGGACCAAAATGCCATATCATCCAGTCCTCCGAGGAAGTAGTCTTGGAACTGTTCCACCAAAAATGGGGACTTTGTGGAGTAAGAGGGATAAAGCTGTGGTAGGGAGAAAGAAAAATAAACGAATAAGGCGCTGTTCCTGGCATCTGCATAATCCTTAAAGATTCGGAAGAATGAAGCCTTTACCTTGGAAATTGCTAACCTCTCGCCATACCTGCAACATAAACATAAACAATAATTTCTACAGAGAAATGAAACACATAATGAAGAAAAGCTCCATCCACACATATCCAAGAGTCATGCAACTGCCTTTGACAAAGTGAAATCCATAAATCCAAAATCCACTCTCAGGAAACTAAAACACAAAAAATGTGCTAAAAAAGTCACAGTAAAATCAGTTGTAGGGCCGGCCCGTGGCTCACTCGGGAGAGTGCGGTGCTGATAACACCAAGGCCCCGG